TTCTATCATTAAAACTAAAAAAATATATATTTTAAAACATTCTTTTGGAAATGTTATGTTTCGGCTTGGGTCGAATTGTCCACGCTCAACTAACGTTGGCTGTAATTGGCCACGGTTAATGCATTTATGATACGTAGCTTGAGCGATTTTATTTACTACTACACACTAATATACACTACACTATACACTACACGCTAAACTATACACTACACTATTACTATACACTACACTATACACTACACTATACGCTACACTATACACTACACACTAATATACACTACACTATACAGTATACACTACACTATGATACGTAGCTTGAGCGATTTTATTTACTACTACACACTAATATACACTACACTACACACTACACTATTACTATACACTACACTATTACTATACACTACGCTATACACTACACTACACACTACACTAAACTCTACACTACACTATTACTATACACTACGCTATACACTACACTATACACTACACTATACACTACACTATACAGTATACACTACACTATGATACGTAGCTTTAGCGATTTCATTTCAATGTTACCACGATACGATACGTTCAATGCATGCTAAAAGTTTATTTTTCTAGCAGATAGGATTGTTTCCTGAACAAACTTCATATTAATTTGCAGTTCATATAGGTAGGTTAAGAATTTACCTTGTTTTTTTTTTACTTTAAATGTTACTGTGCAATACAGTCTTGTAATTAATAAACACACACAGGATATAGTCTATACAGTACGCTACTGTAACTTGCTCTGTTTTGCTAGATTACCACCACCCTGTAAGACTCCTGGCTAGGCTAGAGGCCATCTTCGACTTACGATATTTTCGACTTACGATGATAGGGTCGTTGTAACATATCTCCATCGTAAGTAGAGGACTGCCTGTATAGAAATAGAAGTGACATTCAGATCGACATCACATGCCACCCTCCATCTGCACTGCTCCTTCTGCTGCTGCTGAGTTCAACAACTCGGCAGAATCAGTGTCACCGCCACGCAAAGTAGAGGAAAGGTAAAACCATCATTTACATGTATTTATAAATACTTATTCAACTTAACTAATTCGTTATCTATATACAGATAACATGAAAACACGATATTGTTTATCGATATACAGATACAGCTAAACTACGTGTTATCCATATACAGATACAACTAAACTAGATTTAATCGGTATACAGATAATTGATATACTCTTAGGTTTTTTTCGGTAAAACTACGTAGGTAAGAAAAGTTATAAAATTATAATAAACGAAAAATAACTCAATTGTGATGTAATTTAGTTATTTTTCATTTATTATAATATTTTTCTTATTTTTTTCCTACGTGACTTTACCGAAAAAACCTAAGAGTATGAAACCTTGCAGTTACGAAAGCTTCAAATCTCAAAGAAAATTTACGTATTGTAAAATCCTTTATATTAAGTTCACTTGCTTGCTTGCGCGCTTACGACCGTGCAAATCTTTCGGTCGTTTTTTAACCCACTTCCCGTGATCCAATCGAGCTGACATTTTGCACACAGACTCGTTGTGCGTGACAATTTATTTTCGTGAAAAAAAATTCCTAAATTTTCCACTTTTTAGGAAAAAAACAATTATCAACATGAATAAAACAGAGGGGACGAAAGGGGAAAAACATATATTTTTTTAATTGTGAGTTTATTTAAGAAGTCTGTACATAAGCCAGGTTTTCATCATGCTACATGTAGCCCCAGTGGCCTAATGGATAAGGCACTGGCCTCCTAAGCCAGGGATTGTGGGTTCGAGTCCCACCTGGGGTTGCTGAGAAAAAGCTGTTCATTTTGTAAAATCAAAAAGTCAAGTTAACGAATCTGATAATGAAAAGCCAAAACGGCGCTGTGCCTATAGAAGAGAGTTTTAAAACAATGTTCAGTTATACTCTTTGGTTCTTTCGGTAAAGTTACGTCGGTATAGTGCCCATCATCAGGTGATGATGATGGATGCTTGTGTTGATGATAGACGCTTGTGTTGAGCCCGAAACGTCGTGATTTATTTTATTTTACACCTACGTGAATTTACCGAAAGAACCAAAGAGTATGGATTCCTGAAGTCACGAAAGCTTCTAATCAAGAGAGCTTTAAACATTCTAGATTTGAAGCTTTCGTGACTGCAAGGATTCATATTCTTAGGTTTTTTTCGGTAAATTCACGTAGGTAAAACATTAAAATTTATAAAAGTAAAATTTTACACTTTTTTACTTTCATTAATTTTAATCTTTTACCTACGTGACTTTACCGAAAAAACCTAAGAATAAGAGTTTTAAACAGTGTACTTTGGTGACAATTATCAACATTGATAAAGCAGAGAATAAAAGGAGAAAATACCTATCCATTTCTATTATTATTAAATCCTTTATATTAAGTTCACTTGCTTGCGCGCTTACGACCGTGCAAATCTTTCGGTCGTTTTTAACCCACTTCCCGTGATCCAATCGAGCTGACATTTTGCACACAGACTCGTTGTGCGTGACGATTAATTTTCGTCAAACATTTTTTCCAAAATTTTCCACTTTTTAGGGAAAAAAAATTTCACTAACACAATCATATATTTTTCCTAAATACAGAAAATTATTCAAGAAAACAACAAAAATGTACAATATAAACAATCATACAAAAACTGAAAACCTTATAATCCTTATATACGACTTCCCTTATATTTAATTTAAAATACCAATGTGATAAAAATGAAACTCTTACTCAAGAAAAACAGAAATGAATAATAAAATAAAACCGATGCCACGCATATAAAGGATTTATAGTGAAAAACTTTGTTTTTTTCACGGGGTAATTTTTTACAAGTGATTTGTCCACCTTTCCTTCACTTATCGTGCTTTTGTACTGAATGTTCTCATGTCCTGACCCCGTGACCTTCCTCGGCGTTTGTGTAAAAGAACTTTATAGCGCATCGGAATGAAGACCTTCATCTGTATTTCTAAAACACCTCAATGCTTCTAGATTTGAAGCATTCGTGACTGCAAGGATTCATACTCTTAGGTTTTTTCGGTAAAGTCAGGGAAAAATAAAAAATAAATATTAAATAATAAAATGATGGGAAAAATTATAGAAATTAAATAATATAAAATAATATTATAATAATTTTATTTCTATAATTTCTATCATTCTATAATTTATTTATTACTATTTATTTTCCCCTACGTGACTGAAATTCGCTGCCTGGATGGCTTTTAGTAGACAAACAACACGTCACAGATGTTCCATTGTAAGACCCCCAAATCTCCCTCCCATCCTTCCCCCTCCTGCCGCCCCTCCCTCTCCTACTCCCTCCCCCCTCCCTCTTGCTCCTCCCCCCTCCCTCCCACCCCTCCCTCCCTCCTCCCCTCCCTCCCCCTCCCTCCCACCACTCTCTCACCTCCCTCCCACCCCTTTCTCCCTCTATCCCTCGTCCCCTCCCCCCCTCCCTCCCACCCCTCTCTCACCTCCCTCCCTCCCACCTCTCTCTCCCTCCCCTCCCTCCCTCCTCCCCTTCCTCCCTCCCTCCCCCCTCCCTCCCACCCCTCTCTCACCTCCCTCCCACCCCTCCTTCCCTTCCACCCCTCCCACCCCCCCTCCCACCCCTCTCTCACCTCCCTCCCACCCCTCCCTTCCTCCCTCCCCTCTCCCTCCCCTCCCTCTTCTCCTCCCCTCCTAGCCAAGTGAAGGAAGCCCCCCCCCCACCCCGATGGCGTCTTCTTTCTCCACCACCACCGCCGCCCCCCACCTCGTGGTGGCGTCTCTGCTGCTGCTGCTGCAGCTCGGCGCTCTTTGTGAGCAGCCCCTCGTGCTGCCCCTTGACCGTGAGTAGCAAACACCCCCCCCCCTCCCGTTAAGCAGCTGATACCCCCCCCCCTACAGCACCTAAGGTCCATCTTCTTGATTCTTTCGGTAAAGTCACGTAGAAGGGAAATAATAAAATAATGAAAATAAAACATAGTAAAATAATTCTCACGACGTTTCGGCCACAACGCAGGCAGAAGACCAGGTCTGTCGGGGAGACAGCGTCAGATGCTGTCTCCCCGACAGACCTGGTCTTCACCTGAGGACGGCTGCTTGCGTTTAACCAATAAGATGAATCCCTGCAGTCACGAAAGCTTTAAATCGAAACACCTAAGGTCTTCGCTCATTTACCAGCTTCACATTCCCTATTGCCGTACAAACACTGGAGGAAGGGCCTTTGCTATTGATGCCCCCAGGGTCTGGAATGCTGTCGCCAATAAACTGCAATTTGAATCTCTACCTATGAGATCTTCACCCAAAACTGCTCTAGAGGAGTTGTACACCCCCAGCTGCCACTGCAATTTAGTGGCCTAAAATAAAATGTTTCGCTCCGGATGATCGCTGCAAAGTATGATCTGTGTTTTGATTTAGTGTGCTGATCTTAAAGGTGCATTGAAAAATGTTGACACTCCGACTGATGCTCCTCCTGCTGTTGTGGAGTGACCCATGCAGCAGCAGCTGTGGCTGCAGGGTCTGGTGGTACATGTTGATTACGTCGTTTATTGTGAAAACTCTGTCACAGTTCCTATGACCTGCACTGTTGCATTGCTTGTTTGGCTTTATTTTGGTGATTTTCGAAAAGTTCTTTGGTTTGGCCATGTTTGTTTGTTGTAGTACAGAGTTAGACTGATGGCCTTAATCTAAGTTGTCTTGCGGTTGTTGTTGTTGTTGTTTGACTTGCATCCCACTGGGATGTTTGCACACAGCGTTGGTGTACGGTGATTTTTCTGCAATATTTTGCTGTCTCTTCTTGGATTTGCTTTTAGCACTCAGTCACATATTCACTTTAAGATGTTTTTTGTTCGTGTTTTTGTTTTTTGTTTGTTGCGGTTGCACCCGATTCAAGAGCCGAATGTCTCACAGGGCTCTACACCCACTACATGAACTTGAAACTTGAAACTACACCCATCACTCATCCACCCAAGTCCATCAACTCAACTTTGTTGTTGACCCGTTGGTCTCTCGCAGTCACCCAGCCCCCGTCCATCACGTGGCAATCGCGCGAGGACTACGCCGTCGACCCACGTGACAACATGGTGCTGCAGTGCGAAGCACGCGGCAACCCAGCGCCCACGTACGCTGCACACTCCTCCATCCATCCCTCACTACATCTCCCCTCACTCCCGACTTACCCCCCCTCCCCATCTCCCTACCCCCCTTCCTCCCTCCATCCCGAATTAACTCTCTCCCTCCCTCCTCCCTCCCTTCCTTCCCCTCCCTCCATCCCATCCCCACCTCCCCTCCCCTCCCCTCCCCCCTCCTCCCTCCCCTCCCTCCATCCCATCCCCACCCACCTCCCTCCCCCACCCTCCCCCCTCCCTCCATCCCTCCCTTCTGACTTACCCCCATCCCCACCTCCCTCCCCCCTCCCCCTCCCTTCCCTCTCCTCCATCCCATCCCTCCCCCTCCCCTCCCTCCCCCCTCCCCTCCCTACCCCCCCCTCCCCCTCCCTCCCTCCCCCCCCCCACTCCCCCCCCCTCCCCCTCCCCTCCCTCCCTCCCCCCCCCCACTCCCCCCCCTCCCCCCTCCGCGCCTGTGCTGCAGCTTCTGGTGGAGCAAGGACGGGGGCAGCTTTGACCCCGACAGTGACCCCCACGTGCGGCGCCGTGGGGATGGCTCGGGGACCTTCACCGTCGACTTGGCGGCGGTGGCGGCGGCGGCGGCGGAGTCCGGTGGTGACGGTGGCGGTGACGGTGACGGTCACGTCACCGCGGCGGTGCAGCGCTACCAGGGGGTCTACCGCTGCTGGGCGGGGAACCGGGCGGGCACGGCGCTCAGCAACAACATCACCGTGAGGCTGGCGCGTGAGTGGGGGGGGGGGGGGCACGCTCGCACCGTCAACTACTCACTCACTCACACACACACAGGGTGTGCTAACCGCTGCACCACCACTCCCCACTCACACACACACACAGGGCGCTAACCGCTGCACCACCACTCCCCACACACAAAGTGCTGAACCCGTCCTGGGCCCTCCCCTAGGTCGACTCAGCCTCAAACGCGTACCTAATGCGCCATGTAAACACGTCACCATCGGGGAGACAAAGGCGGCCCGGTGCTGACCACCAACTCGCTGGCAGCACTTGCCCCGACGCCCTGCGAAGGCTACACAGGGAGACTTTGTCTGTACCCTGCAGGTGCCCCGCGGTGGCCTCGTGAGCAGCTGGCGCCCGTCATGGCCGCCGTGGGCTCCCCGGCCGTGCTGCCCTGCCGCCCTCCTGCTGCCCACGGCTTCCCTCCTCCCACCGTCTTCTGGCTGGACAGCTGTGAGTACCACGCTGCCCTTGAGATGTTGACTACCTCGCCTGGTAGACAGGAGGGCGTGGGTTCGATCCCGACCCTGACGACGCCTGCTGCTGCTGTATATTTGGAGTTTGCGTGTCTCTCTCATCATCATCACGCTGGCTATGAGATGTTGACTACCTCACCTGGCACGCAGGAGGTCTGTGTCTCTCTCTTTCATCATCATCATGGTGGCTATGAGATGTTGACTACCTCGCCTGCTAGACAGGAGGGCGTGGGTTCGATCCCGACCCTGACGACGCCTGCTGCTGCTGTATATTTGTAGTTTGCGTGTCTCTCTCATCATCACGTTGGCTATGAGATGTTGACTACGTCGCCTGGCACGCAGGAGGTCTGTGTCTCTCTCTTTCATCATCATCACGGTGGCTATGAGATGTTGACTACCTCGCCTGGTACGCAGGAGGTCTGTGTCTCTCTCTTTCATCATCATCATGGTGGCTATGAGATGTTGACTACCTCGCCTGGTACGCAGGAGGTCTGTGTCTCTCTCTCTCATCATCACCACGCTGGCTATGAGATGTTGACTACCTCGCCTGGTACGCAGGAGGTCTGTGTCTCTCTCTTTCATCATCATCACGGTGGCTATGAGATGTTGACTACCTCGCCGGGTACGCAGGAGGTCTGTGTCTCTCTCTTTCATCATCATCATGGTGGCTATGAGATGTTGACTACCTCGCCTGGTACGCAGGAGGTCTGTGTCTCTCTCTCTCATCATCACCACGCTGGCTATGAGATGTTGACTACCTCGCCTGGTACGCAGGAGGTCTGTGTCTCTCTCTTTCATCATCATCACGTTGGCTATGAGATGTTGACTACCTCGCCTGGTACGCAGGAGGTCTGTGTCTCTCTCATCATCACCACGCTGGCTATGAGATGTTGACTACCTCGCCTGGTACGCAGGAGGTCTGTGTCTCTCTCTTTCATCATCATCATGGTGGCTATGAGATGTTGACTACCTCGCCTGGTAGACAGGAGGTCTGTCTCATCATCACCACGCTGGCTATGAGATGTTGACTACCTCGCCTGGTACGCAGGAGGTCTGTGTCTCTCTCTTTCATCATCATCATGGTGGCTATGAGATGTTGACTACCTCGCCTGGCACGCAGGAGGTCTGTGTCTCTCTCTTTCATCATCATCACGGTGGCTATGAGATGTTGACTACCTCGCCTGGTGTGCAGGAGGTCTGTGTCTCTCTCTCTCGTCATCACCACGCTGGCTATGAGATGTTGACTACCTCGCCTGGTACGCAGGAGGTCTGTGTCTCTCTCTTTCATCATCATCACGGTGGCTATGAGATGTTGACTACCTCGCCTGGTAGACAGGAGGTCTGTGTCTCTCTCTCTCATCATCACCACGCTGGCTATGAGATGTTGACTACCTCGCCTGGTACGCAGGAGGTCTGTGTCTCTCTCTTTCATCATCATCATGGTGACTATGAGATGTTGACTACCTCGCCTGGCACGCAGGAGGTCTGTGTCTCTCTCTTTCATCATCATCACGGTGGCTATGAGATGTTGACTACCTCGCCTGGTGTGCAGGAGGTCTGTGTCTCTCTCTCATCATCACCACGCTGGCTATGAGATGTTGACTACCTCGCCTGGTACGCAGGAGGTCTGTGTCTCTCTCTTTCATCATCATCACGGTGGCTATGAGATGTTGACTACCTCGCCTGGCACGCAGGAGGTCTGTGTCTCTCTCTTTCATCATCATCACGGTGGCTATGAGATGTTGACTACATCGCCTGGTATACAGGAGGTCTGTGTCTCTCTCATCATCACGGTGGCTATGAGATGTTGACTACCTCGCCTGGTAGACAGGAGGTCTGTGTCTCTCATCATCATCATCACGGTGGCTATGATATGTTGCCAGACGACCCCGCCGGGAGTAGCGGAGCGGTGAATCATCATCATGTCTCCACGGGTCGATGTGTTGATGATTCGGCTCTCTCGGGGTGTCTCTGGGTCTCCCTGAGTCTCTGTGCATCTCTGTGAGTCTGGATATCGGTGGGTATCTATGAGTCTGCTCTGTTCGCGTGGCTGCCGATGCCGATGCAAATGAACAAGCACAATGCCACATACTCTCAGGTTGTTTCGGTAAAGTCATGTAGGTCAAAAAAATAAGTGAAAAATAACTAAATTAAATCACGACGTTTCGGAGGCAACACAAGTCTCCGTCTTCAGGTGGGACCGTCACAGCCAAATTCACTGTATCAATCACAGCCAAATTCACTGTATCAATCACAGCCAAATTCACTGTATCAATCACATCCAAATTCACTGTATCAATCACATCCAAATTCACTGTATCAATCACATCCAAATTCACTGTATCAATCACAGCCAAATTCACTGTATCAATCACATCCAAATTCACTGTATCAAGTGGTAAATTTGGCTGTGACGGTCCCACGTGAAGACGGAGACTTGTGTTGCCTCCGAAACGTCGTGATTGAATTGAGTTATTTGTCACTTATTATTTTATTTTCATTATTATTTCTTACCTACGTGACTTTACCGGAAAAAAAACCCCGAGAGTGTGAATCCTTGCCAGTCACGAAAGCTTCAAATCTAGAATCACTGCTGCAGAGTTGTTCATCTTCCATTTGCGTCTCGTCAAGAATCCGCGTCCGCCACTACCACGGTTTGCGCGACGGACTTCTAATAAAGATTCCCATCTCCTCAATCCCTCCCCCTGCCGCCCCCCCGACTGCCCACCGCCCTTAACCCCGGGGTGGTGCTGCTGCCGGTGCTGCCGCAGCCGTGAAGAAAGTTCCGCTGGATGCGCGAGTGACGCAGGGTCCAGAGGGTGACCTGCATTTCGCCAACGTGCTCCGCGGCGACGGGGGTGACTACGTGTGCCACGCGCGCTACCCGCACACGGGCACCATCCGCTACAAGCAGCCGCTACGGCTGGTCGTCACACGCAGTGAGTGGCGGCGGCGGCGTGGTGGCGGCAGCGGTGGCAAACGCCGGGAAGTTGCGTGTGTACATGTGTGTGTGCGTGTGTGAGTGTGTGTGTGTGCGTGCGTGTGTGGATGTGTGTGTGTGTGGACGTGTGTGTGTGTGGACGTGTGTGTGTGCGTGTGTGTGCGCGTGTACGTGTGTGTGGACGTGTGTGTGTGTACGTGTGTGCGTGTGTACGTGTGTATGTGTGTGTGCACGTGTGTGTGTACGTGTGTGTGTGTGTGTGTACGTGTGAGTGCGTGTGTACGTGTGTGCGTGTGTACGTGTGTGTATGTGTACATGTGAGTGTGTGTGGACGTGTGAGTGTGTGTACGTGTGTACGTGTGTGTGTGTACGTGTGTGTGCGTGTGTGTGTGCGTGTGTACGTGTGTGTGTGTGTGCGTGTGGACGTGTGTGTGTGTGTGTACGTGTGAGCGTGTGTGTGCGTGTGTACGTGTGTGTGTGCGTGTGTACGTGTGTGTGTGCGTGTGTACGTGTGAGTGTGTGTACGTGTGAGCGTGTGTGTGTGTGAGTGTGTGTGTGTGGACGTATGGACGTGTGTGTGTGTACGTGTGAGTGTGTGTACGTGTGTGTGTGCGTGTGTGTGTACGTGTGAGCGTGTGTACGTGTGTGCGTGTAGGTGTGTACGTGTGTGTGTGTGTGGACGTGTGAGTGTTCAGATAATCGTCACCGGTGTTGCCCTACGGCGGGAATCAAACTCGGGTCATGGGCAGGTTTTGTAGCGCAGCGTGGCGCTAACCACTGTCCCACCGCTCCCCGCGCACCACACGTGGATGATGCACGCAGAGCGTCCGTCAAAGCGCCGGCCGGTGTTCGTGGAGCCTGCGGGGGAGACGAGTAGCAAGGTGGTGCTCACCGGGGAGACGCTGCTGCTGATGTGCATCACACAAGGGCTGTACGTACACACGCGCGCACACGCACACACACACGCGCACACACATGCACACACACACACACGCGCACACACACACATGTACACACACACGTGCACGCACACACACACACGTGCACGCACACACACCCACACGTGCACGCACACACACACATGTGCACGCACACACACACACGTGCACGCACACACACACACACGTGCACGCACACACACACACGTGCACGCACATACACACACGTGCACGCGCACGCACACACACACACGTGCACGCACACACACACACGTGCACGCACACACACACACACGTGCACGCACACACACACGTGCACGCACACACACACACGCACGCACACACACACACGTGCACGCACACACACACACACGTGCACGCACACACGCACACGTGCACGCACACACACACACGTGCACGCACACACACACACGTGCACACACACACACACGTGCACGCACACACACACGTGAACGCACACACACACACGTGCACGCACACACACACGTGCACGCACACACACACGTGCACACTTACGCACACACACACATGCACACACACACGTGCACACGCACACACACACGTGCACACGCACGCACACACACACACGTGCACACGTGCGCGTGCGTTCCCTGTGTGTGTGCGCGTAGCCCCACGCCTAAGGTGAGCTGGAGCAAGTGGGGTGGGGCGGCGTCGTCGGAGGAAGCCGCCCCCCTCGCCGCCCCCTCCGGCACGACGTTGGCACAACGCTGGCACGACACCGGTACGACGCTGGTCATCCACAACGCGGCGCTGTCCGACGGCGGCAGCTACCAGTGCCGCGCCGTCAACAGCGAGGGTGTGGCGCTGCACACCGTCACGGTCACCGTGGAAGGTGTGCACCTGTGTGTGTGTGTGTGTCTGTGTGTGTGTGTCTGTGTGCACCTGTGTGTGTGTGTGCCTGTGCCTGTGTGTGTGTCTGTGTGTGTGTGTGTGGGTCTGTGTGTGTGCCTGGCTCCTGCCACCATGAGGGGTGGACAGTCCTCCACTCGGGGCAGGAGACTGCCAAACAACAGGGAGTGGCTCTTCTTCTGAGCAAAATAATGAAGGGGGCGTGGGAGTGTGGCGGTGAGATGTGGGAAGCTGCGCCTGCCATTCTTCCACTCCGGTGGTGGGTGTACACCCAGGACCCCATTCCAACCTAAAGTGGCCTGGTCTCAGCTGATGAAAGTTGCAAGTGAGAATTTCATCATTGCTTGCGGCTGGGGTTGGCATCGTCCCCCACTCCTCCTGATGTCGAGGGTAAATGGGCGAGGTTTAGGACTGTGGATCATGCAGCTGCAATGGCTGCTTTGGGTACGCGGTCCAGACCTCCCCAGAAACACAGGTTAGTTGAGAAAAAGTGACAGGCCCACTCTCATCGGCTACAGCATCCCATGTCAGAGAATGAGGAGGTTGACCGCAGCCTTCGCTCGGAGGATCGGAGAGCCGTGAGGCGCTGCAAGGATGGGTGGTGGTCGCGGGTTGCTGAGGAGATGGAGTCTGCCTCAGTGGCCCGCGATCACAAATCACTATTTAACTCCATCAAAAAAGTAACCTGCAGCGCCACACCTATTACCATCATTAGGGGAAAAACGGTGATCCAATCTTCGACCCCCAGGAACAGGTTTGCAGATTGCTGAGCATTTCTGTGAGGTCCTGGGGGAGGGGAAATCCCTCAGCCAGGAAAACATCATGGCCCAAAGTGGTGATAACCCTGCTGAGGCTGCGGTGCCTCAAATATTGGAAGAGGTCACCCCCTGTGAGTGGCTGGCTGAGGTGCCATCTGTTGAGGAAGTACTGAAGGCGATCCAGAGTCTAAGACCAGGAAAGGCACCGGGCAGAGATGATCTCCCAAGCGAAATGCTGAGGGAGGGTGGCGTTTGTGCACAGACTGCCCTACATGACATCATAACAACAGTCTGGACCACTGAACGGGCTCCGCAAGATTGGAAGGATGCCCTGGTGGTCCCCCTCTTTAAGAAGGGGGACCGCACAGACTGTAACAACTACAGGGGCATCTCACTCCTCAGTGTGCCAGGAAAGGTCCTGGCAAGGATTATTCAACATCGCCTTGCTAGGCACGCTGAGAAGAGGCTTGCGGAGCCCCAATGCGGTTTCAGGAAAGGGCGGTCCTGCACAGATGCCATATTTTCTGTGCGTCTGCCACAGCAGAGGTGTAGGGAATTTCAACAAGACCTACATCTCTGCTTCCTCCTCCTCCTCCTGCCCCCCCTTCCCCCCCTCCTCTTCCCCCCCCCCCTCCTCCTCCCCTCCTTCCCCCCCCCCGCCCTCTGCAGCCAAGCCGCACTGGGCGGCTGCGCTGCCAGCGAGCTGCAGCGTCGCCCCGGGGGGCAGCGCCGAGCTCACGTGCAGAGCCAGCGGAGTCCCCGCACCGACCATCCGCTGGCTCCTCAACGGCGTGCCCATCCACGGTGAGACGCGGGGGGGGGGAGCGAATGGGGGGGGGGGGCGGTCAGCCTCGCTCGCTCGCGGTCGATCGCACGCTCACTCAACCGCTCGTCCACCCACTTGCACGTGCACACGCTCGTCCACTTGCTCACGCTCGCGGTCCATCGTCAAGCGATCACTCGGTCGACCGATCGCGGCAAATCGCACGCTCGGTCAGCCAATCGCCCGCTCACCCACATGCTCACTCGTCCACAATGTGCACCCACTCACCCAGCCGGTCACACGCTCACCCAGCCGGTCACACGCTCACCCAGCCGGTCACACGCTCACCCAGCCGGTCACACGCTCACCCAGCCGGTCACACACTCACCCAGCCGGTCACACACTCACCCAGCCGGTCACACACTCACCCAGCCGGTCACACGCTCACCCAGCCAAATCACAGGACGTACCGAGTTGAGCCAGATCACGCCGCGTTGCGCTAAATGCATCCTACCAAACAATGGCAAATCGCGCTGAGACCATTCCACATCGTGGCACATCGTTACACATCGCGCCGAGACCACGCCGAGACCACGCCGAGACCGTGCCGAGACCGCGCCGAGACCGCGCCGAGACCGCGCCAAACCGTGCCGGGTGTCGTGCCGCCGTGCGACGGAGCAGAAGCCCCCGAGGTGCCGGGCCGGTGGGTGGACGGCGACTCCCTGACGCTGACCCGGCTGCGGGAGGAAGACACCGGCGTGTACCAGTGCCAGGCCTCCAACCGCCACGGCACCATCCTGGCCAACGCCTACGTCAACGTGCTGGGTGAGCAGGGGGTGCGGGGGAAGGACGACTGAGTCGCTGTGTGAGTCTGTGGGTCTCTGTGTGAGTTTATAGGTTGCTGTGTGAGTCTGTGGGTCGCTGTGTGAGTTTATAGGTTGCTGTGTGAGTTTGTGGGTCTGTGTCAGTCTGTGGGTCTGTGTCAGTCTGTGGGTCTGTGTCAGTCTGTGGGTCTGTGTCAGTCTGTGGGTCTCTGTGTGAGTCTATGAGTTTCTGTGTAAGTCTATGAGACTCTGTGAGATTGTGTGGTCTATCGGTCTGTGTGATTCTGTGGGTCTCTGTGTGAGTCTATGAGTCACTGTGTGAGTCTATGGGTCTCTGTGTCAGTCTGTGGGTCTCTGTGTGAGTCTATGAGTCACTGTGTGAGTCTATGGGTCTCTGTGTGAGTCTGTGGGTCTCTGTGTGAGTCTGTGGGTCTCTGTGTGAGTCTATGGGTCTCTGTGTGAGTCTATGAGTCGCTGTGTGAGTCTGTGGGTCTCTGTGTGAGTCCACTTCCTGTATTTTGTGGAGGGATGACCGCTCAGTGTCTCCCACCGCTCTCCCTCCGCTCCTTCCACTTGCTGATTCGCTCTCCTCATTCTCCAATCTCCTCTCTCTCTCTCTCGCTTCCCTCCTGAACTTTCCCTCGTCAACTCCTGCTACCACCACCCCCTCCTCCTTCACCTGGTGGCATCTCTGCTGTGGTCCCACAACATTCTTCTAACCCAGCAACCCTCCCTCCCTCCCCTGCCTCCCCCCTGCTCCCTTCTAAGTTGTCTTGTGGTTGTTGTTGTTGTTGTTTGACTTGCATCCCACTGGGATGTTTGCACACAGCGTTGGTGTACGGTGATTTTCTCTGCAATATGTTGCTGTCTTTTCTTGGATTTTCTGTTTGCACTCAGTCACATAGTCACTTTAAGATGTTTTCTTGTTCATGTTTTTGTTTTGTGTTTGTTGCGGTTGCACCAGATTCAAGAGCCGAATGGCTCACAGGGCTCCACACCTACTACATGAACTTGAACTTCTCTGCCTGCCCCCCCCCCCCCCCCTGCCTCTCCCTCAGCCGTGGCCCCACGGATGCTGTCGCCGCCGGACAGGCTGTACACGGCCACAGAGGGACAGGCCGCGCACTTGGACTGTGCCGTGTTTGGGTTGCCGCGTCCCAACATCCTGTGGTGAGAGCGACGCTGGCCCGGCTACTTTACTCTCTCCGTGAACTAAGCACTCTTTGTTGTTGCTGTTGTCGTTATTGTTGTTGTTGTTTGAATGGGGTCCTGGTTGGAGGGGGAAGAGCGCCTAGCTTAAATATACGCTGCCAAGCCTGGCGGTGTTTCATTCAGACGCTGTCTCCCCGACAGACCTGTTCTTCACCTGAGGATGGCTGCTTGCGTTGTGGCCAAAACGTCGTGAGAATTCGATTTTATTGTGTTTTATTTTTATCATTTTATTATTTCCCTTCTACGTGACTTTACCGAAAGAACCAAGAAGAAAAAATTAACCCGTGAAAACAAAGTTTTTCACTATAAATCCTTTATATGTGGGGCATCGGTTTTATTTTATTATTCATTTCTGTTTTTCTTGAGTAAGAGTTTCATTTTTATCACATTGGTATTTTAAATTAAATATAAGGAAAGTCGTATATAAGGATTATAAGGTTTTCAGTTTTTGTATGATTGTTTATATTGTACATTTTTGTTATTTTCTTGAATAATTTTCTGTGTTTAGGAAAAATATATGATTGTGTTAGTGAAATAGTTTTTTCCTAAAAAGTGGAAAATTTTGGAGAAAAAATGTTCACGAAAATACATTGTCACGCACAACGAGTCTGTGTGCAAAGTGTCAGCTCGATTGGATCACGGGAAGTGGGTTAAAAAACGACCGAAAGTTTTGCACGGTCGTAAGCGCACAAGCAAGCAAGTGAACTTAATATAAAGGATTTAAAAATAGTTTCGCCGCTTACTAGTCGTCAAGGCTCCCCCCCCCCTCTTTGCTTGCGCCGCGCACCGCCAGGTTCAAGGGCGACTACGCCGGACCCCTGGCGGGCGAGCGCCACCAAACCTTGGCCAACGGCACGCTGCTCATCTGGAGCGTGTCGCCTGGCGACTCGGGCACGTACACGTGCTTTGCTGTCAACAAGCTGCACCACGAGCAACTGCGGGCGCGCCTCGACGTACAAGGTCGGCAAGAGCATCGCCGGCCGGCCGGCTGCCCTCTCCGCTCCAGCACGCTCGTGCCCCCCCCCCCCCCCTTCTCTCACGCATCCCCCCCTAGTGGAGCTTCTTTGCCGCCTAGAAACACTCCGACTGGTTTGCCCATCGCTCGCTGCTCTCTCCCCCCCCTCCCCCCCCCGTTGGTAACTGCCCCCTCCCTACAGTCGCCAGCGGCAGCAGCAGCAGCAGCAGCTCGGAGCCGGGAGCCGTGCCACTGGACGGCACAGGTCTCTGGGGCTCCACCACCACCACCGCCACCACCACCGCCACCACTGCCACCACCACTACCACTGCCACCACCACTACCACTGCCACCACCACCACCACCACTGCCACCACCATCACTGCCACTACCACCGCTGCCACCACCACCGTCGCCACCACCACCGCCGTCACCACCACCATAACAGTCGCCACAAGCGCCACCACAACCACTCGGCACCACTACTACGGCGTGAGGACACCGTCAGCACGCACGCCGCCAGCCAGCGGCGGAGGTGCCAACGCTGATGACGGTGAGTTCCTCTCCTCCCTCCCGCCACGATCGCAGTGACGCCAAAATGTTAACTACCTCGCCCGGTACACAGGAGTTTGCGGGTTCGATCCTGACCCTGGCGATGCCCGTACGTCTGTTGTTTGCGTGTCTCTCTCCGCGCGGTCGCGTCCATTTCCTGCGCAATTGAAAGCAACATTTGTGGGAAAAGTCACGAAGTTTTTCATTTATGGGAACAGCTTCAACGGAGCCAGTTGGATCGCTGTGCACAAGATGGCGGCGATGGCTTGTCACGTCCCCGGGGGGGTTCGTGTATCAGCCAGATCGGCGGCGGCCGCTGGTCACGGAAGACGCATCAATCCCACGGGGTCGGCAGTGACCTCGGTGCGGTGCCAGTGTTTTTATTGTCCATGAAGAGTCGTCGCTTGTGGCACGTGCGGCTACGACGCTCGCAGTCGCCGGACTTCTCTCTGCTCTCGTGACCGCCCCCCCCCCCCCCCCCCCCCCCAGGCCGCTCCTCGTCAGAAGAGGAGTCGCTCGCCACGACGACTAAGAGCCCCTTCGTCAGCGCCGCGATGGCCGTGGTGGCCGCGATGGTGCCGCTGACCGTCGTGGTGTGCGCCGCGTGCCGGGGCAGGAGGCGGCAGCAGACACAGCGGCGCCTGCGAACCCTCCGGTGAGCGGCGGTGGCACCGCGACGGTGAACCGCGCCTCGTGGCGGGACGGGTCGTGCCCGAGCCACGACGGGGTCCCGCTTATGGTAGTTCGAGCTGGCGATGGCGATGGCGAAATTGTGGAACGTTTTACGTTTCGCGCAAACAAAAAGAAACAAGTCTGATGATGATATGCACTGTCCTTGAAGTTGTTTCTTTCTGTTTGCATTTTGACTGCTTGTGTTGTGGTTATTGCAAACATGATGCCTTGTATCAAGGTGTCAGTTTTTCTACCAGTTGAAAGGGTAAAACCCATCACTATATTTTGCCACTGGTAAAGGAGAGGTCTCATAATGTAAATGCTTCACCCCGAGCTCTCAATACTCTGATAGTGCGCTGTTTTTGAGTTGTGCGCCTTTTGGCGTCATCTGGTCCAACACCAATGGAGACTAGGCTCTAAGAAAAGCTGTCACGAGTGTGGACCAATCAACTTCAAAGAATATGAACTTCAAGGGCAGTGCATATCATTATCATCATCAGAGTTGTTTCTTTTTGTTTGCATTTTGACTGCTTGTGTTGTGGTTATTGCAAACATGATGCCTTGTATCAAGGTGTCAGTTTTTGTACCAGTCGAAAGGGTAACCACCTACTACGTGTGTGTGTAGTTGCCGTGGTGCCGGTACCTGTGCTCAGCAGAGACGTTCTCTCCCATT